GAGCTGGAATGTCTTCTCTGAAAGGTTGAATTGAAGCTTCCTCTGTATCTGGATCTTGAAGACTCTGCAAAGTGATCCTGAGGAATACAGCTGTGGAATTTTTGTCCAAGCTTCAAATGATTTTCAAAGGAATTTTCCCATATGAAAAAAGAGAACACTGGCATCTGTTGAAATTCAGAAGCTCTGAAATTATAATGACAGTATTTTATTTTAATTGCACTGAAGTGTACACACTTTAAAGCAGGTCTTTCACCCAGTGAACAGGATGCTTTGCTTTAGCAGCAGTGACATAAAATTCCATGTTAGATAAGCATATGTTGCCTACCTTGTTATTAAATATTCCTTGAAAAACAAAAAAACAACAACAAAAAAATACTGAAATTAGCTGGGCGTGGTGGTGTGCGCCTGTAATCCCAGCTACTCAGGAGGCTGAGGCAGGAGAATTGCTTGAATCCAGGAGGCGGAGGTTGCAGGGAGCTGAGATTGCACCATTGCACTCCAGCCTGGGTGACAGAGTGAGACTCCATCTCAATAAATAAATAAATAAAAATAAAAATAAAAAAGGGACCTCAGAGAGCTCTCTAGCTTTCCCTCTGCCATGTGAGGACACAGAGAAGTTAGCAGTCTGGAACCTGGAAGAAAGCTTTCACCGAAACCCAGCCATGCTGGTGTCCTGATCTTGAAAGCCCAATCTCCAGAACTGTAAGAAATATGTTTGCCTTTTAAGCCACTCAGCCCATGGTAATTTATTACAGCAGCCCAAGAGGACTGAGATAGCTGGTCTAGATCAGCACTGTCCAATAGAAATATGCAAAACATACACGAAATTAAAAATTTTTAGAAGCCACATTAAAAAATAAAAAGAAACAGGCAACATTAATTTTAATTACATATTCCACTTAACTCAATATATCTAAAACATTTTCTTTTCAATATGTAATCAATACAAAAAATTGGGAAAGAGATACTTTGCTTTTGTTTACTACTCTTTGAAATCCTATGTATATTTTACTTATAGTACCTTTCAATTCAGGCACTAGATCGTCATCTGAAATACTTGATCATATTTAGATTTCATCAAATTGACAGTTGAAAAAGTAGATCCACATGCCCAAGCTGTTCCATACAACTCCCCAGTAACTGAAACCACTATCAGTTTTTAAAGCAGATTTATTTAAATGAAATGAAATTCCAGTTCTTCAGGTGTACCAGCTGCATTTCAAGTGCTCAGGAGACACAAGCAGCTACTGAATGGGACAGCGCAGGTCTAGAGCTGGCCAAGGGGAGGACGTAGCATGGAGAATGGTGTCTGGCTGTAGGAATCTCAGGCACAAGGAACTTACAAGAACACGGACTCTGGCAACATCCTTAGCTTGTTTCTGTTGTGGTGGAAAGCAGGTGGGGTGTTATGCAGACAGGAGTGTACAGAGAATTGCTGGTTCCTTCAAGAACAAATGCATATCAGTACTCACCATCTACCAGCCACTGCCCTGGGTGCCAGGAGGCAGCATGAGTTAGTAGGGAGGAAAAGGACCAGACAAATCTAAGTATTTACTGGAGATGCTGATGGAAAGACAATAATCCCAGCCCTTGGCATTTGTCTATTATGAGAAGCCTTCCTGGCCACCATCTGCTTTGGATCTTCGCAGCAGCTGAGACTTAGGGAGGGTTCAGGGCTCAGGACATTCAGTGACTTGCCCATAATGTGTGTGGGATAGAACAAGGGGCAAAGTGGAGGGCTTCTGAACCTAGGTGCAGGTTCTGTGACTTGTTCTTTTCACTCTGGACAAAGTGCTGAAAGGCCGTCACGTGTGGGGCTTCCTGTTGTATGATCTGTTATCCGGAGTGGGGGTGTCTCTGGGGAGGCAAGCAACTTCAGCTGGGCAGTGGATGCCTCCCATCCATGATGTCCCATTCATCCAGGGCCGCTCGGAGGGCACAAGTT